GTGACTTCTCCATTAAGGTGGCCTTGTGCACAGAATTGAAGGAAGCGCCAGAGGAAGCCACATAGAGATGAAAGAGGGAACAAGAATGGCACAGGTCCTGAGATTTCACTTGATGCTGCTTCCTCCATCTTGAGACCACGCCTGCAATGTGCGTGTTGCTCTCCTGATTTGAAGATGGAGACACAGAGGTTCAGCAGGTTTAAATGACTTTCTCAAAATCATCGCTAGTACTAGATGGAGCCAGGGTCAAACTCTGCTCTTGTGGTTCTTGAGACAGTGCTGTTGACACAGGGGACCATGTGCGTGAGACGGGCTGCCTCTTTGCAGTGGGAGCTGGGAATCAGCCATGCAGGGAAGAGCAGCCGAGGACAAGCAGACAGCAGGGGCGGGCATCCTGGGGCCCCTTCTGTCTGCCTCATGGCACCCACCTGCCATTGCTCGCTCACCATGGTTGGTGGTTATTTTCTGAAATCATGACCTGGATCTCAGTAAGCTCATTTTCCATTCCTTTCACCTTTGGGAACAAGTCTCTCTACCTACCCAGGGGCCAGGTAGAGAGAACAGAAATGGAGAAATTCAGTCTCTTTTACCAGCCTTGTCACAGAGCCACACAAGCTAATGGCTTCAGGAACTAAGTTTTTAATTTCCCTGCATGAATCCCAAACTGTTTTTCCATATTTGTAAGAAAAAAAAATCTCAGCCAAGGAAACACCATCTTTTGAGGACACCAAATTGGGTCAAGTTCCTGGGTGGCCTCTCTCCTTATTTAGTAGTTGTCCTGTGTGACCGACTCCTCTCCCCTTGGCCACTTGCTCCCCACGTGGCACTTGGTTGATGAAGTTCTCTTGACCTCAGAGAGGAAGCTGATGTCTGGGTGCCTCACTGGGCTCCTGCAGGTTGCTGCAGCCTGTAGGGGTTTCCTCCAGCCAACAGGGCTGTGAGCTGCAAAGAAATTAACCTCACTGTCAGGGCCGGGAGTCAGGGCTTGTAGGCATGTCATTTGGTGAAATGGAACAGCAGAGAGGTGGCATGGTGTGGACGGAAAGCACAATTTTCACATCAGATACCCCAAGATTTGGCTCCTATCTCTGCTACATAGAGTTCTTTAATCATGTGCAAGTTATTGACTGTTCCTGAACCTCAGTTTTTTCAGTGGTAGGAAAAAAGGACAAATAACACTCCTATCAAGGATAGACCATTGAATCATGATATTGTTATGAAGAAAAAAATAAGATAATAGGAGTCTGGCAGAATTTGGCCCATGGCAGAGATACAGTTTATGATCCCTTCTCTGTTTTGGTGAGAGGCTCACCTTCCTACCAACCCCTGGCCTGTGAAGGTGGAGGGGATGGAGATGCAAAGCAGGATCTGGATGCTGCGGGGTGAGGCAGGGCCCATTCTGAACTCTTGTTCCGACGGCATTTCTCATTACGCTGTCTGAAGTGATCCCATCAGATATACTTACTCCATTGTGGTAAGCATCACCCTCCATCTGGGGTTTCTTTTATTTCATTTCGGTTAGGAGGAGGGCCTGGGATCTGGAGGCACCAGGTAGTCTCCTGCCTTCCTGTGCACATCTCCTTGTGATTCGCTTGGTCTTATTCATGAGGTTTAGGCCTCTCCCTCTGGGATGCCTTCTTCTCCCAGTTCTGCTCTTGGTTTTGCTTCTGTCTGGCCTCCACCACCCTCACTGTGATCTGGTTGGGATATTTGCTTCTTAATCTCCCCTGTTCTTTCTTCTAGGCCAAATTAATTGTCCCTGATTTTGTTTTCCTGGATGCATAACAGATTCATCACATCTTGGGTTCTTAAAAGGCAGGGCTTGGCCCCTATTAACTGTTACAGGCCTGATGCCCTGTCCTACGCCTGGCACGGAGGGTCTCCCTGACGGATGCTGAGTGGGGAAGTGGTCAGCATGCAAGTGGGCATACACCACATCAGTGAGTTAATGGGTTTGAATGCTGTGGGTTTCAAAATTTGCCATGAATTAGATAATCCCGAGATTCTCTTATTTAATGAATGGAAGTGAGTTAACATGCAGTCATGCGTTGCATAAGTTGGCTTGGGCAGGAACAGGCCACACTTAGTGATGGCATAGCTGTTGTAGTTTGGGTAAGTACCTCTACAATGTTCACGCAATGACAAAACTGCTTAATGATGCTGTCTGCAGAACATATTCCTGTTGTTAAGTGGTACATACCTGAATGCTAGTAAGTGCAGTGATGGGACATTCATTCAGTTATTTTATTCATTTAAACTTTTTGAATGGTTTTCTCAATATATTCATCCAATTCATTTGACAGCTAGAGTTCATCCCTTGAGTCTTTCAGAGGATGCAACGAGGTATCAGACAGTAGAGGAAGAGCTGGTAGAATTCTAGCTCATTTTTAGGATTTTTTTTTTGTTTGTTTTGTTTAGATTTTGGCCTTCAATTTGGAATTCAAGAAAAGGTCTCTTTGCACTTTGTTAAGTAGATAATAGGATAGGAGAAACAATAAAGAAACATTTTTTTTTTTAAATCAGGCTGCAATTGCCCACCTGTGTCCAACCTATATCTTCTTGGGTGTCAATTATCCCCCACCCCATCTCTCTGCAGAACAAGAGAAAATAGATGATTTGGTAACAGCTTGGCTGCATGATGGTGGCAGAGGTGGTGTGTCCATCAAGTAGGGTAACTGAAGCTTACCACAGTCTGATGATATTCATTTTTTTGTTCATCTAACAGTCCGGTGTGGGACGGGGATTAGCATATTATAGCCCACGGTCCATACCCAGCTTGTAGCCCAGTTTTATAAGGCTCATGAGCTGAAAATGATCTTTACATTTTTAAAGCTTTGCAACCCCCCCCCATATGTGGCAGAGACTATCTGTGGCTTCCAAAACTTAAATTATTTACAGTCTGGCCTTGTACAGAAAAAGCTTGATGTTCTCTGTTTCAGGAAGACATGAGTTGTATTCTGCAGGGAATTCGGGTTCTTTCCATCTTTTGGCTTCACAATGGGGAAAGAACAGGGAAGCCACACACGCTTCTCAAAAAAATCCCAGCCACAGATGACATGCATCCCTGAGTGGATACAAGAAGGTGAAAATGTAGTCCCTTTCCAACTACGCCATACTGGGAGAGCATGAATCTTTGCACTTTCTCTGTCTGAAACATCCTACTTCTCTATCCTCCTTTGCATTTGAGTAATAAAGCAGGTTCTTTCAGTGGATCTAATCTGGACCTGATATGAACCCCACAGGTTTTGGCATACTCTAAGCCATGGATCAGAGAATTACAAGGCTCCGTGCTTGACCTCGGGTTGGCAGTTGGCGGGCACCTGCTCTGTACCAGGATGCTCTTCAGTATCTGCCAAGGTTCCTGGTACAGAGCAGGTGTGTTTTTGTACTTGTTGGCCTGATGTGCATACAAATTGGGGGGAATGAGGAAAGTAAAATGCACTTAAATGAAGACAGATAGGACTAACAAACTTGTGTCACAGCTGGAGGGACAGGGAACATTTAGAATAATAGTAACAATTCATATATGAGACAGCCAAGCTAGTGTATTGCAGATCCAAGGCTGATTCCAGATATGTGTGACTCTACATCTCATGTTCCTCCTGAATACAGAGAAGAGAGAACATTTCAGAGAACTTTACTCCAAAATCTGTTTATAACAGCTGTCAAGTCAGGCTTCCACAGCGTCTGTGTACAGTGAACATCTCCTCTAGGGAGGGCAGGTAAGGATGTTGCAGCTTGGACTTAGAAATGGTGAGGATATGCACAGGAATCTGAAGTCACTGACCTGTTCATTTCTGATTTTGTATCTCTGCGTGCTTTCCTCATCTGGAAATCACGGGATGTTGAAACCAGAAGGAACTTGCTTAATTATAAGCAGGAGGGGAAAGGGCTTTAAAGAACTTGGCAAACCTGGATTCAAACTCTCTTTCAGGCTTAAAGTGGCAACCACCAATTATTTAGCTCACAAATTAACAATTGGGGAGGATTCATCAGGGAAGGCTGGTGTCAGTCTGGCAGTCGTAACCGGGGATTAAAGGATATATTTGTTAGACTTCTTATTCACCTACATTAGCATGTTACTGCTGGCTGTCAGTGGGAGATTGGCCAGGGTAGGGGCCCTAGTTCTTCTCTATCTGGGCTTTCTGCAAGCTGCTTGGGCTTCCTTACAATATGGTGGTTGGATTCCAAAAAGCAGGAAGTGAAAACTGACAGTTTCTTCTGATCCTGAAAACAGGCACAGCAACACTTCCATTTATTTTGCCCAGATTCAAGGGAATAGCTATTGATCCCATATTTCAGTGGGAAGAGTGTCAAAGAATTTTGGGTTGCTTTTTTTTTTCTTTTCTTGGTACCAGGGATTGAACCCAGGGGCACTTAACCACTGAGCCACATTCTTAGCCCTCTTTATATTGACATAGGGTCTTGCCAAGTTGCTTATGGCCTTGCTAAATTGCCGAGGCTGGTTTTGATCTTATGATCCTCCTACCTCAGCCTCCTAAGTCACTGAGATTACAGGCATGTACCACCATCCCTGGCTTTGGGTTACATTTGAAAACTTCTGTAGGAATGGAGATACTACATTTCCCCTTTACTCTTAAAATTAGATAGGAGTTTAATCTCTTTGTACTTCATTTTTATTAGGTTTTCACAATGGATGATCCAGCTTGTATTTGAGCTCAATCTTGTGGATTCTATGTTAGATCTCCTGACATGTCCATAGTTAAGGCCAATATCACTCCATGTTATACTCACAACAACTTCCCAATCTGGCCTCCCTGCTTCTTTTCTTATCCGCCAAACTTGCTCCTTCTGAAGGGCAAAAAGGAAGGATTGCTGTCCTTAGAACTCTTCGAGCCCTCTGTGGCCCTTGGATTGAAGCAAGCTTTTCCTTTCCCTTGACAAATCCATCCACAATGTCCTCTGTGGTGCTTGCGATTTTATACTTGCAACATTCTCTCTACTTCTCTACTGTTTATCTCGTGAACTTACACCTCTTTTTCAGGTTCAAGTTTACTGCCTCCTCTAGGAAGACCCCTCAAGACTGGTTGAGCTTCCCTGCTATTTCCTTCCATAATATCCTGTCTCAATCCTATTCAACCCTTTTCATTTTGTTCTGAAATTGTCCATTTTCCCGTGCCCCTCAGACTTTGCGTTTTTTGTGGGTGGGGGCAGCGTCTGACTTCACCTTCCTTTTCTGCCCTGGAAGGTATTACAGTCGGCATCCTCTTAGGCTCTCTTGGAGTTTTCACCATCGGGAAGGCTATGAGTCTACCAAGTTCTCCCTCCCACCTATGCAGCCATATACTCAAAATTGGACCCAAGTAACACAGTTTGTCATGGTGGGCTTTGCTGGGGTGCAAGAGGCACGCCTCCTTTTCTTTGCGCTTTTCCTCACCATGTACCTGTTCACCTTGGCAGAGAACTTGGCCATCATATTAGTGGTGGGCCTTGACCATCGGCTCCGGAGACCCATGTATTTCTTCCTGACACACTTGTCCTGCCTTGAAATCTTGTACACTTCAGTCACAGTGCCCAAGATGCTGGCTGGTTTTATTGGGGTCGAGGGGGGCAAGTATATCTCCTATGCTGGCTGCCTGTCCCAGCTCTTCATCTTCACCTTCCTTGGGGCAACTGAGTGTTTCCTGCTGGCCGCCATGGCCTACGACCGCTATGTGGCCATCTGTATGCCTCTCCGCTATGGGTCCTTGGTGTCCTGGGGCACCTGCATCCGTCTGGCCGCTGCTTGTTGGCTGGCAGGCTTCCTCACGCCCATTTTGCCCATCTACCTCATGTCTCGGCTGGCATTTTGCGGCCCCAATGTTGTGGACCACTTCTTCTGCGATGCCTCGCCCCTGCTGGCCTTGTCCTGCTCGGATGTCACCCTGAAGGAGACGGTGGATTTCCTGGTGTCTCTGGCTGTGCTCCTGGCCTCCTCTGCCGTCATCGCTGTGTCCTACGGCCACATCGTCTGGACGCTGCTGCACATCCGCTCGGCTGCTGAGCGCCGCAAGGCCTTCTCCACCTGTGCGGCTCACCTCACAGTGGTGGGCCTCTTCTATGGCACTCTTTTCTTTATGTATGTCCGGACCAAAGTGGCCTCCTCCATCAACTTCAACAAGGTGGTGTCTGTCTTCTACTCCATTGTCACACCAATGCTCAACCCCCTCATCTACAGTCTTCGGAACAAGGAGGTGAAGGGAGCCCTGGGCCGAGCCTTTTCCCTCAAGTCCTGGAAGAGACAGTGAGGAGGCAGATGGAGGATACCCAGCCTCCTTTTCTGGGGTCTCCAAAAGGAGCATGGTAAGGACTATGGGAGGGAGGTGTGGCTGGGTACCCAGGAGTTATAGACTGTGCAATAGTTAAAGGAACATGCTGTGCTGCTATAACAAGAGAGGCTTAACTACAACGTAGCATTAAGAATGTAGGATATTTTGTCTTCCTGGCGGAAGTCCATGGTGAGGGTTCCAGGTTGATGGGTAGCTCTGAGCAGCAGGTATTCCAAGGTTCAAGTTCTTTCTATCTCATAGGGTCAACCTTCCTTAAGATGTTGGCAAAGTAAAGCCAGCAGGCCAAATCTGGCTCAGCACATGCTTTTTAATGGCCTGTGAGATAAGAATGGTTTTTACCTTCCTAAGTGCCTGAATAAAAATTAAAAGAATAATGTTCCCTGACACAAAAGTTCATAAAATTCAAATTTCAGTGTCCATAAATTAAGTTTTATTAGAACATAATCACATCCATGTATCTTGCTCTAATGACAATTAAGGCCATTTTTCTGCTACAATAGCTAATCTGAGTAGTTGTGACAGAGATGACTTGCAGCCCCTGATCTAGAAACTTCTTGCTGTTTACACGGTCAACACTGGGCAAGAGAGGCCAGAGTAAAACCTGGGGGAGACACACTCTGTGCCTTAACGTATCTTGAGCAGTTGTGGTAATGATCACTTTCACTCACCTTTTTCAGTGAGAAGTGAGTCATAAGTTACATCTAATCACAAAGGAAGTAAAATTAGTCTCTAGGTGGGCAACCAGATGCCCAGTTTACTTATTGTAAAAAATGGAAGAAAACACAATTTGATAGACAACCAGCACTTTCCACCACAGATGAAATTCCCAGAATCAGAGCTGATTTTCCATGTGATTTATGTTCATTTGTAATATCTGCATTCTGTGATTTGAAATATAGACCGATCTTCTCCCAAATCAGATGGTGTTTGCAAATTGAGTTAAAGAGATCTCTATGGCAATGCCAGTTCTAAGTTATGCTTAAAAAGACAATTACAATTCAAGTAGTTCCCTACATGTACCAATTGCGTTCCTAAAGGCATGTATAATCACCATTTGAATGTGGATTCCAGAAACTACAGTAAATGGAAGAAGAAAATATTGAACTTGGGACTGATTGGGGGGAAGGACAGATTTTCTTTGACGATGTTTTCTTTGCCAGATGACATGGTAGTGTCTTTCAACACCACAGATTTGCCTAATAGCGTTTGAGCTGTTGTCTTTCCCTCTGTTAATAGGGAGTGCAGTTTGAAAACCTTTCATTTACTTTTTTTTTTTTTTGGTACTGTGAATTTAACATGGGGCACTCTACCACTGAAGTACATCCCCAGCCCCTGTTATTTTTTACTTTGAGACAGGGCCTCGATAAGTTGCCAAGGTTGGCTTTGAACTTGCAATCCTCCTGTCTCAGCCTCCAGAGTCACTACAACTACAGGCGTGTGCCACTGTGCCTGGCTCATTTACTGAGTATTATATCACTAATGTGCTTTAGATTCTTTTCAATGACTATGGGATGCAAAAATAGTGCTAAGGTGAGAACTTCTCAGGATCAAATGGAAGAATTCACCTGAATGAAATAGAAGGGCTCTACACTTCCAGGCACTTGACTCGAGGAGACATTAACACAATACCTATTGGGTTTTGACTGAGGAAAAGAAAATGCACTGGGTTACGTAGTACTCATTTATGCTAGCAAGAAGAATTCAACTTTAAACACAAGTACTGTTTTCTGAATTTTGAGAACTACTCTAAGAATAACTCCATGGGAAGTATTAATAAAGTCTACTATTTTGGGATTCTTGAGGAATAAGTCTATATTTTTGAGACAAATTGCATCAGGAAGGCTCTTGCACGTATAAAGTGAATCTTGTTTTAATAAAACCTTATACAAGAAACAAACCTGGGGGAAAGCCCCACTCTTGTGAGTGTGATTATTTAGATTACAAAATTAAAACTATCGCTCTCTTAAAAAAAAACAGCTACCATCAGAATCTGGGGCATACGAAAAGTGGAGGTATCAACAGACCATGTTTTCAAAGTGGCTACTAATGGTAGATCCACGTGCAGTGAAGATAAACTACGAAATTGTGTCAGGGAAAATGCACATTTCAGAAAATAGAAAATTTCTGAAAACACAATTGCTTCTCCGAGGGTTTCTGTTCCTAGAGTGAAGCATGGGCTCAGTGTGAAGTGCTGCCCGGGGGGTCTGTGACAGTCACCTGTCCTCATTTATGAAAAGGCAAGTAGCTAACCATAGCAGGGACAGGTTGTTTACTTAGAAGAAAATTTCATAGTAGACATGTCTAGTGTAGTTCAAACAGGTCAAATTGGAAATGTTAGACCCCAAGCTCTTTGCTTATAAGAATAAGTTTTAGACTCTCCAAAGAGCCTCCCCTCCCTATGACCTAGCTTAGAATAAGGGTCACAAAAAAAGTTTTAGTTATTTGGCAATAAAACAAGATATCCAGATTTTGCCACTATTCATCATTTTATTGAACTATTTAACAAATAATTGTTTGTGCTTACCATGTGCCTTGTACTCTTTTAAATGTTTTATAAATATTAATTCATTAACTCCTCAGTGATAATTCCATGAGGTCAGTGCTATTGTTATCCTCCTGGGGTACAGAGAAGCTAAGTAACTTGTCCAAAGTCACGCAGCTAAGTGGCAGAGCTAAGGCTTGAGTCCTGTGCATCTGCCTCTTAACCTGTGTATAGTGGTGATGCTCTGGGTAAATTGGTCCCCTCTGAGCACTTATTCCCTTATCTGTAAAAGGTCAGAGCAGACAAGGTGTCTTTAACTCTCTACTTTTCATGTGTTTCACGTGTGCCGAGCACTTTCACTATTTTCCCATTTCATCATCCCCACAACCTGGAGGGGAGAGCTCAGCCTCATCCTCTGCAGGAGGAGACGGAGCCTCAGGGAGGTTAAGTTACATGTTCAAGTTCATACAGCTACAAAGGGAGGAGCCAGAGAATTTGAACCACATTTATTGGACTCCACTCAACCCCTCTGTCTCCATGCCTCCTCTCCCGGGTCCCCTCCAGTGCTAACTTTGCATAAGTGGATCAGATGTAATCAGTCTCTTCTGTGTCCCTGGCCTTGACTCTGTGCTTAGGGGCCAAGGATGAAAGAGACCACCTGCTTCCATCAAGGACAGTATTTTTTTGCAAATGTGTCTTATCTCCCCTGATGGGATGAAATACAAAACAGAGGCAGCTGGGGACAAGCAGGGGTTCTGGACCAGTGTGAGGGGGCTCAGAGGAAGGAGTGTTCCCCCTGGTAGGGAGTGAAGAGGGCATTCCCCAGGAAGCAGGACTTCCTGTGATCCCCTTCTGCTTTCCTCACTCGGGATGAGGCCTGCCAAGCATTTGTCCTTTGGTGTTCTTGGCAGGGTGGAGAAGGATGATGTAGCACTTGGGAACGAAGAGACAGAACAGGAGGCCTGCTCTTGATGCCAAGATGGCAGAGACCGCCACGGCCGCGGTGTCTTTGCTTTGTGGGCAGAGATGAAGGACACCCGGACACGGAGCAGACCAGCGTGCTGACAGTGATGTGCTTCGCTTCATTGAAGGTGTCAGGCAGCCTGTGGGCAGGGAAGGCTACCAGCAAGCTGAGCAGACCTCGCAAGCCCAAGTAGCCCAGCATGGCATAGACCAGTTCCAAGGAACCCCCATTACACTTCAAAGTCACCGTGGATCCAGGCTCTGTGGAGTTTATGGGCTGTGGGGGCCATCTGGTCACCCAGAGTATGCACAAGGCCTTCTGGAGCAGGAAACAGACGTTGGGGAGGTGCCAGGGAGCATCGACCCTGCCCACACCCTGATCTCCGTGTCTGGCCTTGTGGCATGGAAGGCTGCCATTACCACTATGGTCTTGGCCAGCACAGTGGACACACAGACTGTGAAGGTGACCCCAAAGGCTGCCTAGTGCACAGCACAGGTGAGGGGACCTGGGTAGCCAATGAACATGAAGGGACAGAGGAAACACAGTGCCAAGGAGGACAGTGGGAGGTAGCTGGGCTGGCTGTGATTGGCTGGGACGATGGGGGTGTGCTGGTGCCTGATGACTGTGCCTAGGATGGCCAGGGCGATGGGGAGAGCAGGGCTGCACAGACGGCCAGCGCTGTGCTGAGGGGCTTCTGCTAGGACATGATGTCCAGGGTATCTGCGGTGCACTGCGTCTTCTTCCCGTTGGGCCCTTGGTCCACGGGACACTTCTGGCGTGTGGCACTCTCTGAGGGAGAAAGAAACTGGGTCAGAGAGCAGAGCAGGGAGGCTCCTGGAGACAGCTGAGCGGTTCCACGACGTGTGGTGGCTTTTGCAGGAGGCTCCGAGTATTTCCGTCTCCTTGCAGTGGGCCTTCCAGATTGTGCGATGTCCCCGGAACCTGAGCCAAAGGCACAGATGGCAGAAATCCCCATGGTGGCTGCTTATCATGCGTCAGACTATCATGAAATAACATTGAGCAACCTACCGAACCTCCTCTCCGGGCTGCGTCCTTTTGAATTGAACGACCATCGCTGCACTGTCATAATTAATAGTTGTAACTACTTAATCTGTGCATTTGTTTACCCAACAACCTATTTAATAAATGTTTATGAAGTCCTTAGCATTTACAAGGAATCCATCTCTTTTTAACAAAATTTTGGTTATTTTTTGAGATGGGGGGTCTCACTATATGTTGCCTAGGTTGGTTTTGAACTCCAGGATTCAGGGGATTCCCCCTGCTTCAGCCTCCAGAGTGCTGGGACCGCAGCTAGACACCACCATGCCCAGCTAGAAGAAAGCCTCTCTTTTCAGAATGCAGCCACCAGTCTCTTAAATCATTCCAGTGATAGAACTTGACAGAGCTTTGGATTTCGTAGTTATAGGATAGATTTTGCAGCTGGGCCCTGAAATGGTCACATAGTCCCTCCCATTTAACCTCTTATCCTGGCTTGGGTTATTTTTGCTTCTAGAGACTTTTATTCCATGTACCCTTAATCTCCAAGTCTAAGGATTCCTTCTCATTTATCTTTCTCCCATCCTTTTCAGCACCCAGTGGCTTCTCCTTGGCTTCATTGAGTGGCACCTTTTCCTTTAGAAGGAAAAGGGTATTCCCAACGATTCCACCCTCTCAGAAAGAGTTTTCAGTATAAGAAAAGACTTTGTCTGACTCTGTGGCTTCTTTAGTTCCTGGGGGCCTGGACCTGGTGTCCCCGTTCTGATCATCCTCCTTTCTAGTACGTCCACCATGTGTTCGTCTCCCCTGATCCCACGGCAACATATGCTGGGCTTCTCTGTGAGCACATCAGCAGCTGCTCATTTCCTACAGAAGAGTCTGTGTGCCTGGGTCCAAAGAGAGGCCCTCTGTGATCTGGTCACCTGCTTCCTACATCACAGTCTCAACTCAGTCTGACCATGGCTCCTCCTTGCTTTCAAACCTTGAATCTTTGCTGACTTACCCCTTGGCCTGGGCTGTCCTTGTTATGGCTTGTTGCCTTTAGGATGTCACTCATAGATTAAGGCCTGCATCACACACCGCTCCCTTCAGTGAAAAGTCTCCCTGCACGTGCCTCTTCAGGATTACTTATTCCACTGTTCTCGAGCTCAAGGCTCAAACTTTTACGACGGCTGATAACTTGGCTTCATGGTCTAGTTTCTTTCTCAAGAGAGCTGAGCTAGGAGGGCAGGGTGGGGGCAGAACGTCATTGTACTTGAACACATCAGGAACTCTAGGAATCCAGGGACTGTGTCTCCTTGGCTGTTGCTACACTTGTACACGGCAGTATACAGTAGGTGCCACTTAGTACCTGATGAATGAAAGACATCTTAGGAAAATATGTTTAAGTCAACAGGGGGAATTTTCTTCAATGTTTTTGGACTACCAAGTGCCAGGTCTTAAACTAGTTATAGGATCTGGATAAATTCATGGTTGATTTAAAAAAAGGATGTACGAGGCTTAAGTGATGTGAGTGTAACCTGCGGGAAGGACACATTGACCCCATCTTTTTGGTCTCGTTGTTCTGGTGCTTTTTCTCACTGAAGGATCTTCCCTGGATGTGAACATGAGGTTTGATCTGAAGCTTACTCTGCTGCTGCTGCTGCTGGCCACACTCTGGTGAGGGCCAGCCTCCCTCCTTACCTGGTGACA